CTAGACCGAGTGACTGATACTGGAGAGAGACTGAGGGTGGAACCTGTTGCAGGGTCTCTGAGGAAGCTGCTGTGTACAGCTGTGAAGCTACAGGTCACATCTGTCAAACAGTGAAAGAAGGAAACTGTTCCTAAGAGATTTAAAAAATTTATTAATTAGTAAAATGAGAAGGTAAGGTAAAGGAGAAGGTGGCAGCCTCTCCAAGGTTCCAGACAGTATGTGGAATGGCTGTTTGTGTGGCTGTTTTCTTCAGGTTTGTGGAATGAGGTGTGTCCCTTTTTATTCCAGGAGTTGGGACCTGCAGGAGGAAACCCAGGAGATTGAGTTTTCTTAACATCCTTTGTTTTCCGGATGTGAAACTTAAGGCTTTGAAGGATTAGGTTATAACACTGGGAAAGATGTTTTCACCTTCCCTCTTCCCCACCTCCTGTTATTTAAAATGAGCTGAGGGAAAGATGCCAGATGAGTTTGAAATGCGTTGCTCATGGAGCTAAATGAGGTTGGAGTTGGTGGTCATTTTCAGGGGGCAGAATGGTCAGCCGTGGAAGCTGCTTCTCTGGTACATTTGAAATTCAGTTCAATGATCTACAGATTACATCACCTTCTCCTGTTGGATATGAAAATCTCCTACTACATTCTGGTACTCAGTTTCTGGAATTCTTTACTCTGATAACCAGTTTATTTAACTCTTTTCCAGATCATGGGCCTGCTCAAGGTACTTTAAGGATGTAGTGGGGTGGAAGGGACGTGGTTTAGGGTTGACCTACAAGAAGCCTGAGGAGCTTTGGCAGCTAAGTCTGTAGTTGAAATGCACTGTTACCCCAAAGATCGTCTATCATATCTGTTGACACTTGAGAGAAGAACGGATGGGCAGTCTGTCCCATTATGAGTTACAGCCTCAGAAACCTAATGAAGGGTTGCTATGAGTCAGAATTAACTCAAAGGCAGTAAGTTTTGATTTTTCTATCAAGTATCACTTCTAATCCAGGCGTGGCATTTGCCCCGTCCTAGATCCTAGGCGGCATATGTGAGTTCTGCTTCTATGGTCCTTTGTTTCAATCAAAGGAACTAAGAACTGAGATTCTCATTCCAAGAGTTCTTCATTTGTCTCTTGTCTATCTAGTTTCTTCCTGGTATGGAGATGCCCTCTGGAAAAAAATACGGTAGAGCCAGATTTGCCAAATCTTTTCTTTTCCTCCTTCCTGCCCTCCTGTTGGGTGCTCTCGCGTTGATACCTGTCCAGTCTGCCTTGAACCTCACAATCTCTGTTGTGCTCCTTTTTGCAATCACTGTGTCAGTCCACCTTGTTGAGGGTCTTCCTCTCTTTTGATGATTCTTTCCTTTTTCAAGGATGATATTCTTCCCTAGGACCTGGCCCCTCCTTATGTCCTGCCCCAAATATATCCTCTTAACACCTGAGTAATGAGAAGTCTAGCTATGGGAGCCCTAGCACTTAGGAGTTTCATGCCCTTGAACTGAATATTTAACCTCTTTGACTCTTAGTTTTTGTCTTGCTGAAAGGGAAACAATTATTCCTATGCCACATGAGTGTAAGGTGGAGACTAAAAGAAATTTTAAAGTTCTGAATAATGTTGGGTTCATGCTTGGCTCGTACTAGGTATGGGGTAAAGGTGAGTTGTGTTCTATCTTGCCTAGTCTTTTTCTTGAATTTAGAAACATGAAAGAGAAGTTCTTCTTTGATTTGAAATAATTTTTTGAAATGTATGTCTTGGGAGAGACCTAGCAGTTGTGCCTGTGCACTCCTGCTAGCAACTACGCGTGAACGGAGCCAAGAATTCCCAGGGGCTTGCTGCCAGCCGGGACTGACTCACTCACAAGGGGCCCAGCCTCACTCAGGGGGAGACAAGGCTGATGCACCGCATTAGGGCATGTTCCGGGGACGTGGATTCTCTGAATAAATCGGATGGTTCTGCGGAGCATATACGACAAAAGCCACCTGGAAGACAGAGATGGTCACTCCCATGTAGTCCAAACAGTGCCCAGAAAGAGGGGTCACTTTGCAGATGTTTAGCAGCAGTGATCTGTCCTTTAAGACCCAGAAAGAGGGGTCACTTTGCAGATGTTTAGCAGCAGTGATCTGTCCTTTAAGACCCCAAGAGGTTCTACATTTTATCACTCCAGACCTTTAACCAGGGCTGACATGAGCCGTCTTTGAGTCAGCCCTTGGAAGAGCCCTTGACTCTTCAGCAGCGCTCCTTATGCCCCCACTTCTGGACTTACTTCTTTCTGTCTAACATCATCTGCCTCCTTGAGCATCAGGGAAGAGGTCTAAATCCACCTTATGGTCACATTGTGGCACTTTGAAGTGGTTTTGATGTTGTGGTTCATCTCTTAGAGAGGCTGATAGAACTAGAGATCCTTGTGATTCATACCATTTTAGAACTAAAAAGAACCCCAGAGATCATTTGTTTCAACGTCTTCATGGCATAGGTCCAGAAAAATTCAGCATCATATTTGAGTCACAGCTATTTTAGTCTAAACTTAGACTAGAAGCAAGGCATCCCATTTCCTGATCCTTAGCTCTTTCTGAATTTCTTTATCTCTTTTCATCAAAGGAATTGGTTTCCCCTAGACTGAATAAAGTCTTCTGCTGAGGGAGCATCGGCAAATATGGCTCCCGCATTCCTTCCCAACATGCTTTGTGAAATCGGTGCCCACAAAGTGGCAGAACTACTTGGGTATACAGTGGGCCTTCACTTTCCTTAATGCCTTGTTCTCCTTCCACGTAACACTTTCAGCTTGAGAATATCACAAAGATTTTCTAAGCAGGGCCTGCACATGTTGTTGTTGTTGTTATTATTGTCATGTGCTGTTGAGTCACTTGCAACTCATAGCGACCCTGTGTACAACAGCCCTAAACTCTGCTCTGTCCTGTGCCAGTTGCACCATCTCTGATACACCCATCCCAATTACCCCAGTCACTGAATCAGTCCACTTCATAGAGGGTTTTCCCCTCCTGCTCTGTCCCTCCACCCTACTAAGCATGATGTCCTTCTCCAAGGACCGGTCCCTCCTTACATGTCCAATGTATGTTTGACAGAGCCTCAGAATCCTTGCCTCCAAGGAGCCACCCAGATTAACCCTTTCCAGGATGAATCTGTTTGTTTTCCTAGCAGTCCATGGTACCCTCAATACTCTTCTCCAGCACCACAGCTCAAAGGCATCAATTCTTCTTCTATCCTCCTTAGTAGTTGTCCAACTCTCTGATGCATATCAAGTGATTGCAGAGACCATGGGCCTGTATCAGATGCACCTTAGTCTCCAGAGTGACACCATTACTCTTCAGTACTTTGGAGAGGTCCCTAACAGCAGACTTTCCTGTCGCAATACATCTTTTAATTTCCTGGCTACTGGTGCTGAGAGTGTTGACTGTGGAGCCAAGCAAACTAAAGCTGTGAACAATCTCAATCTCTTCACCATCCATCCTGATGCTGCCAGTTGGCCCAGTGGTGAGAATCTTTGTCTTCTTGACATTGAGCCTCAATCCATATTGGAGGCTGCAGTCCTTGATCCTCTGTAGCAGGTGCTTCAGGTCCTCCTCAGTTTTAGCAAGCAGGGTTGTGTCATCTGCATAACCCAGATTGTTGATAGATTGTCCACCAATCTTGACCCTACATTCCTCCTCATAGAGCCTAGCCTCCCAGATAATCTGTTCTGCATACAGGTTTAAAAGGTATGGAGACAGGACACATCCATGGCGTACGCCCTTCCCAATTTTGAACCATGCGATGTTTCCTTGCTTTGTTCTGACGATTGCCTTTTGGTCCAAGTATAGCTTTCTCATTAGCACAATCAAGTGTTCTGGGATTCCCATTCTTCTCAGAGTTAGCCTTAAGGAAGTGCATTAAAGCACCTCATGGTTTAATTAACACACCCTGGTAGCTTAGTGGGCTGTGTGTTGAATTACTAACTGAAACATCAGTAGTTTGAATCCGCGCACAGCTCCATGGGAGAAAGATGAGGCCATTTTCTCCCATAAAGATTTACAGCTTCAGAAACCAAGTAGGGAATCACTATGAGTCAAAAATCAAGTCAAAATTGACTCTACAGCTCTGAAAACCTGCTAGAAGGTCAGCAATGGGTTGATTCTGACTTGGTGGTACACAACAACTAGTGACCTAGGTTGATCCATGTTGGGCTACTGTGTAGAAGGTCAGCAATCCACTAGCTGCTCTGTGGGAGAGAGATGATGAGTCCGTTTCCTCTTGTTAAGATTTGCAGCCTAAGAAACCTCATAGAGAGTGGCTGTGAGTTGGAAGTTGACTCAGAAAGTTCTTTTGGTTTGGGTTTGGCGTGAGTTCCTGCACTCAGCTGCTAACTGAAAGGTTGGTGGTTCAAGTCTACCAAAAGGCCTGGCAGACTGTCTCCAAAAAATTGTACATTCAGACTGCTGTGACAGAAGTTTTGCTTTGATATATATGGGGTCTCCATGAGTTGGGATTGGCTTGACAGAAGCTGGTTGGTTTGTTGGTTTTATTTAAACCTATAACCTTTGGTTGAATATTTGAGCAGGATCCCAGTTCATTTCGTTCTGCCTTAAGGAGTACATTATGGCTTGGCCACCTTCTGGTCAAGGTAGAAATGTGATCTAGTTTATTTACCTCTTTCCTCTTTGCCCTCAAAGACCTTCCTAATTTATCGCCACCCCCCTCCCCATGGGCTGTTTTTTTTTTTTAAAAAAATTTATTTATTTTTTTACAGAAGAGTTAATACAACATATCTTGTGAGGTAGGATTAAAAAAATTTATTTATTAATTTTAATGAACGTTTACAGAGACTTGGGATTTCCAGTCATTCATTGTTGCACTTTTCTCCCTGCCCACCCCTCCCCCTAAATCACTCCTCTCCTTGAAAAGAAAAACTCTTTTATTATTATGCAGCCCTCCCCCCAAGTTCGTGCCACTATTCCAGCCTTCACTCTGGGCTTCCATAATGACCCTTCCTAATATTTTTATTTCATTTTCCTAGAGTTGGCTTGGAAAGGAGGAGCAAACCAAAGGTGGAGCCCCCATGGAGATGTGGAGCCTTGTCACCAACCTCTAACTGCAGAACTGGGATGTGGAGCTGGAAGTGCCTCCTCTTCTGGGCTGTGCTGGTCACAGCCACACTCTGCACTGCCAGGCCGGCCCCAACTTTGCCTGAACAAGGTAAGACTTGGGCTGAGGGCCAGCCCAGGTGGGGTCTCCAGAACAGGGCAAGCGGGACAGAGGTGGTCAGACATTACAGAGCTCCCCTCCAGGAAGAGAAGAGCTTCTTTCCTCTTGGAGAGACTCCTATGATACCTAAGATAGCTAGGGTCTAGTTACAGCTATAAGCACATTCATCCAAGATTGAGTTAATTCATGAAGTCTTGTAGCAGGCATTTGCCAGAGCTGGCAGGCTCAGTAGGTTTTAAGCTTTCCTGAGAAGACAACTTCGGGTTGGACCCTAGAACTGATGCCCTAACCTAGGTGATAAAATGAAGCTGGGAAGTGGAATGAAGAGTGAGTGACATGAATTCCAGTTTAGAACTTGGCCCAGAATACAGGGGACATTGTAGGATATGAGGCCTGATGCGTACCTCTGCCTTCTGGAAAAGGGTTCCAAAGACTCACATGTAAATTGAATATCAGTCAGCTAGATTCCTGCCATTTTACTCGTCTTGACCATGTGTCATGGGCTGCATTTAGAGGCTTGCTGAGTGGTTGGCTTTGAAAGTGTTCTGTTGGTAATAGCCCTAGGAAACTGAAAACAGGCAGCATTTTTAGGTTTGGGAGCTAAAGTTGAACATTCAGAGAGATGATTAGTAATAGGAAGGATTTGTCCTCATGGAATTTGCTGGGGTTATGAAATTATCTCATGGATATTACATATGACTTTTTGAGGGTTCTAGAGAGCTAGTATGTCAGAACCTTATTTAATGATAAATGATGTAGTACCACTGTTGTAAAACAACACTGATAATGGGGTTGGAGGGAACCTAAGAAAAGAGTGGATAAATAATGCACACTGCATTGAAACAGATGAGGGAGAGAACTGTTTAGAAGAAATATAGGATAAAGTATTTTTTTTCCTGATACGATTACAGGAAAAAGAAATGCATAGTAAAGTGGACTGTGGACTTGGGGGGTGTATAACAATGAAAAGATTTTCTTTTTCTTTTCAAAGAGAAAAACAAACTGGGGGAGGGGTGGGCAGGGAGGAAAATGTGCAACAATGAATGAATGGGGAAAAGATTAAATGGAAAGAATATGGTGTAAAAAATAAAAAAAAAAGATGAATGATAAGTGAGAAGATGTGTCCCATTTTATAATGATAGGAAGAAAAAGATGTGTGAGACTTTCTAGAAGGAAGACACAGAATGTGGAGTAAGCAGATTAATGTTCCATTCATTAATTGAATAAGGTTAAGACCTGAATTAGAACATACTGTGTGCTTAAAACTTGGAGAGACCATTTCTACCCACAGGGAGCTTATAATCAGGTAGGAGAAAGACAAGCACAAACATAAGTAAAAGTAGCCTGTGTTTAAACCACATTTTAAGAGTTATAACAAAACATAGTGAGGAGCAGGAATGTAGGTCTTGAAGGCTGAGAAGCACTTTGGAAAGGAAATAAAGGATATTTCAGGCGGAATAAACCAAGCAAGGGTACCAAGGCATGGTGTAGAAAGTGTGTGGAAAAGTTTGCCTCGTGAGTACAAGCAGTCCCCAGATTAAGAATGATTTCTGTTCCTAAATCTGTCTTGAAGTTAAATTTCTATGTGAGTCACAATTTGTTCATAATTCTGTCTTTAAGTTGGATTATATATAACTCAAAAGTTAGTTGTCACATGTATTTAATGTCAAATAGTTATCTTCATATGTAGTACATAGTATGTCTTTCTATGCATTAAAAAATTTTAAAGACCAACCTCTAAATACACTAAAAAAAAACTAACATAGCATTATAGTATTAATGACAGTACTTTGAGCTGTATCGCAAAGTAGTACCTGTTTATGAGCTATTGTACACATCTCAAATTTTTATTCTCGTCAGCTTTACAGAGGTTGGTAACTTTGGAGTGATGGTCAAGGTATGTGTCAGCTTAGCTAGATCATGTGAAGGTGGTAGTAATCATCCTTTGTTTTAGCAGCTGATCAGTTGTAAAGGGCATTTCCTTGGAAGTGTGACCTGCATCCTGTATATATATGGATGTTGTGACAAGGCGGCTCCTCAGCTCTTGATGTTGCATTTGACTTCTCATCTTCGACCTTTTGCTTCTTGGGATGTTGACCCAGTAGCCTGCTGTCTCATCTGCAGAGTTTGGGACTTTCAGCTTTCACAGCCCCATGAGCCAGCAGCCTGACACCTGAACTATAGACATATAGACATACCAACATCCACAACAGCCAGGCAACCTCAGGCCAGAAATGTTAAATGAATACCATGATAAAATCATATGCTATCCTGCTCTGTCCCGCCTTCTACGTAAACCATCTCTTTGCCAGTGTATCTATGCTATACATGCTACATACCTGTTAGTTATTGTTGTTCATCTCTTAAGTTTATTATAAGTAATGTATGTACAGGGTAGAATATGATTATACAGCCTTCAGTATTATCCGTGGTTTCAGGCACTTGTGGGCCTTGGAACGTATCCTCTTTGGACGAGAGGAGAATATTATATATATAAATCCCTCACTAGTTTTCCTCTTCTAGAGAACAGTATAACGTAGTTGGTACCAAGAATAAGTCTAGAAGAACAGAATCCTAAGGGTGAGTTTTCAGAATTGGTTCTTAAGTCTTACTGGTTTTAAAGGTACTGATGACTCTGCATCCAGTGAGAAGAGGTAGCTGACCCTTGTTGGGGTTAAAACCCATGAGGAAAAGTTTTTCTAGGAGGAACAAGGAGGATAAGTGTTTGCAGAAATAACAGAAAACTGACCAGAAGTCAAGCTGAAAGACATTGATTTATTGCTCTGGGAGAATTTAACATACATGAGATGTGGACAGCACGGGACCCAGAGCCCTTTGGGTCCGCAGTGGCGCCCAGTAAAAAGAGTGGTCATACAGGGCTGGAGTGTATGTTCTCAGGCTTGCACTAGTTAGGTGATAACCAAGCCATATGACCATGTGAGGAAGGAACATGGAGCGGCCTTAAACCGTAAGCCTCCCAAGCTGCCAACCTCAAAGCCGCAAGAAAGCAAAAATACATGTTAAAGTAGTTAATGGAAAACAGAGATAGTTCATCTCAGCTCAATTCAGCTCTAACTTAGTTTAGCTCAGAATTAGCCATTGTGGGGGGACATTCACAGTATCCCCTGCAGCCTCCAGCAGGCTTTCTGAGGCTGCGAATCATATGGGAGAAGATTGCTCATCTTTATCCTGAGGAGCGACTGGTAAATTCGTACTACAAGAGTGGCATCATTTGTAAGTCAGCTGCACAACTCCCTGCAGAATGTGCCACCAGAGGAAAAAGGGATGAGCTCAGAGCTTTAGAGGTATTATAACTCAGGTGATGCATATAGGACCTGAAAGTTGCCATTTCTGCCCTGAAAGAAAGCATTATTCTTTTTAGTAATAGAGCAGATATTGCCAAAGCCAAACTCAGAGTCTAATCATAGAGTGGCAGAATTACAATGGGGGTTGAGTTTGTAACCTGAAATGCTGTCTGAAGTTAAAAGCGAAAGCGTTGATTAGGGACTAAATGGAATCCTGAAACTTTGGATGAGGACGTATGAGGAACACTGAATGCCTAACTCTTCTGAAGTCTTTCCTGCCAACAGAACCAGCCTCTTATTCCCATTTGAAGAGATGATTTTGTCTGCTAAGTAACCCATTAAAACCCTGTCCCACTACCCTCCTCTGTTGAAATTGACTCAGCTATTACTAAAGAGCCTTTGTCTGTGATATTACCTGGGGTATCATTGCCTGAGGCAGATGTCTTATAAGTTATTGCTGCACATCCCAGGACTTACCCTCACCACCCATTTTTGCTAGACTTAAGTCCTAATGAGCTTCAAGAAGGGGAGTATTAGTATGACCCAGAAGAAGTGCTCTAAACTAAAAAAAAAAAGTGTTTACTTTTTTAACATGTGAAAACAGAAACGGGAAATATGTGTGAGAATGGTTATTATTAAGGTTGTAAGGTAATGGTATACAGAACTTAATCAATTCATTCAGTATTTAAGTTTGAGAGTTTAGAAAAAGATCTGTTAGCTTTGCTGTTTATTTCACTGAAGCATGAGCTAAGCAGTGGCCAATACTAAATCAACTTGAAACAGCCAACTTGCCTTGGTGTACCATCAAAGAATGTATCAACACATTTAGGGAAATTGTTGTTTTAGAGTAGCCCCATCAGGTTCAACTCACAAACACATCCTTAAAGTGCTTACAGAGCATAACTTTAGGTGAAGATCAGATTTATCAAAGGGGTCCCAGCATCCTTGAAACTACTGCAATTGCTATTTTATGAAAGCTTTGAATGTTATAACTGCTCTCACTGAGTGAAGACACCTACCTACATTGGGACTGATTGGAAAACCCATGGTGGTAGGGACCAGTCTAGTGTGGATTTATGGCACTATTTAGTCATAACATCCAACAAAATAGATGGGAAATACATGATCTATACATAAGCAACTTTGATAGCAGAGGGTGTCATGCTAAACAAGAGGTTGGTGAAAGGTGCACTGCTAAACAAAAGGTTGGTGATTTGAATATCCCTGGGAGAAAAATGGGCAGAATCCTCCTATAAAGATTTATAGCCTCAGAAACTTGATGGAGAATTCCTAGAGTCAGAATTGACTCCGTTTCAGTGGGTTTATTACTTCAGGGGGATGGGTATTTGGGATGTACAGTACAGCTTAAGAATTCTAGGTGAAATATATGGCACTGTAACTTAAATCACTGAAGTAGAGAATTTCAGCCCTCAATCAGTTCTCAGACTTGAGCCAATTTACAGAACCACAGCTCCTTGACTTGAAGGGGAGATTGGGTCCCCTTGAGAAAAAAAAAATACCTCTCTTGAGGACTTGAAGGATGTAAGGGTAGTGCTTCCCACCACATCCCATTCAAGTCACCTACTTGGTATGTAAAAAAGGATAGTTGAACATTTTGTTGTTGTTATTATGTGCCGTTGAGTCGCTTGTGACTCATAGCGACCCTGTGTACAACAGCCCTAAACC